TTACGGAAAGACTTACTGTATTTTTTCCTCCTGAACAAGATCGAAGACGCTAAAATAAAGGTGTATATTTTACTTGCTGCTCTATCCCCAGAATTGCACGAGAGATTACATGATTTGCGCTCTCCAGAAGATCCGCTTAATATGACTTTTGGAAAACTAACGAAAGTACTAGACGATTACGTAGATCCAAAACCTAGCATATGGGCGTTACAACACAAATTTATCACACGTTTACAACATGAAGATGAAACAGTAGCAACATACGCCTCAGAACTGAAGAAACTTTCATTGAACTGTGAATTCAAGTGCCAAAATTGTCAAAAATCTACCTTAGAAAGTTTCCTATCTCTTCAATTTATTCGAGGATTGAAGGACAGTGATATACGAACAAAAATTATTCAAGAACGAGATACATCACAATTATTTAAAAAACTATTAGATATAGCTACGTCGATAGAAATGGGAAAATCAGAAAATATTAAAATATCCGAAGACTTATACAAACATTCTGACACAGTACACAAAATTTCGAGCTCGGCATCCACGTCTAGCATCCTCACGACCAAGTATAATACAGCCGTCCGCTTCATTGTCACCTCCGATAACAATAAGAGACTTAAAACGGAGATGTTTCCGATGCGGTAAAATCGATCACAGATCCAATGCATGTGGTGCAATCAAATCCACCTGCTTAAAATGCAAGAAAACTGGTCATCTGGCGCGAGTGTGCTTACAACTAAACATAAACACCAATAAATTAGATGAGAATAGCAGTAACATAAGTATCGAAAGCATGGGAGATATAAACCTCATTAAAAGCGAGATATCTGAAAAATATACGAAAACAGTTAAAATAGAGAACAAAAATGTTTGCATGGAATTCGACACAGGAGCGACTTTATCGTCAATGTCACTGAAACAATACAAAAAGCTAAACATAGCAAACAAAATATTCAAAACTGAAATGAAATTAAGAACCTATACTGGAGAAATTATTAAGCCTACAGAAGTAACGTACGTTCAATGCACTTATAAAAATCAGATTTTCAACGGAAAATTATACATCATAATTCAGAACGTCGACCCAATATTCGGCAGGAGCTGGATGAAAGAAGTTAACGTGGAACTTGCAGACATGAGAGTAATATAGTCTTCAGAACATTCTACCCAACTTGACAAACTATTAGAAGAATATGCAACAACTGTCTTTAGATCTGACCTCGGAAAAATACCAAACTTCCAAGCTCACTTAATTCTGAAAGAAAACACACAACCTATTTTTATTAAGGCTCGACGTATACCGTATGCTTTAAAAGAGAAAGTTGATAAAGAAATCGACCGACTATGTAAGGAGGGGGTGATCACGAAAGTAGACCAGTCAGATTGGGGTACTCCAATTGTACCTATTGTAAAACCGAATGGCAGCATTCGACTATGTGCAGACTACAAAGTCACTCTTAACAAAGTCATCAGGGAAGAAAACTATTCAATTCCCATAATTGAGGATATATTTGCAGAAATGAATGGAGGCAAATACTTCTGTACTCTAGATATTTGTCAATCATACCTTAACATGGTCATGGATGAAGAAAGTGCCTTATTACAAACATTAAGTACGCACAAGGGCACCTACAAAGTCAATCGTTTAATGTTTGGAGTCAAAGTTGCACCGAACCTTTGGCAAAAGTTCATGGACCAGCTACTGCAAGGATTAGACGGAGTCAAATGTTTTTTTGATGATATCATAATTCAAGGAGCGTCAGAAGAACAACTCTTAACACGACTTAAACAAGTATTGCAGAAACTAAAAAACAATAATCTTCGCGTTGACAAAAAAAATGTCAATTTTACAAACGAAGCATTACTTACCTGGGTCATACAATTGATAAAGATGGGCTACATAAAAATAAAGATAATATCAAAGCAATAACCAATACATGTAGTCCAACTAACATTAACGAACTACGAACCTTCCTCGGCATGGCAAACTACTACCACAAATTTATACCGAACCTCGCATCCATTACTAATGAATTATTTAAGAAAGAGAAAGATTTTATTTCGACATCGAGATGCGAAGACAGCTTCAATAACATTAAAAAGAAAATTTTAAGTGAAAGAGTTCTCATCCATTTTGACCCTAAGAAACCATTGATACTTGCCACGGACGCATCACCAACTGGATTGGGAGCTGTTCTTGCTCACAAATTACAAGATGGATCAGAAAGGCCAATTGTATTCGCCTCCAGAACACTTTCATCGAGTGAAAGAAAATACAGTCAAATTGGCAAAGAAGCTACGGCCATCTATTGGGGTATAAACAAATTCTTTCACTATTGTTATGGCCGAAAGTTCACATTAATAACGGATCATAAGCCCCTTACCTCGATATTTCATCCTCACCAAACCTTACCAGCACTAAGTACAATGAGATTGTTCCATTACGCACATTTTTTTATCAGGATTTGACTATGAAGTACAGAGCCTCCGCGAAACATTCAAACGCCGATTATTTATCAAGATTTCCAGTAGAAATAGTAAAAGAAACATCAAAAGACCAACATTGCAGTTTTCAATTACAACAGATTAACATCTTTGAAGTTCGACCAGAAGTCATAGCTACCGAAACAAGGAATGACGATGAACTAAAGATTTTACTAAAAACATTGCAAACTGGATGCTCATTACGTCAGCACGGTTACAATGACAATGAACTAACACTCCAAGATAACTGTATACTTAAGGGGACGCGAGTAGTAATACCGCAGAGTTTACGTGCACGTGTACTTGATGAACTTCATGCCGGACACATTGGTATTTTAAAAATGAAATTACTAGCACGCAGCTACGTATATTGGAAAAACATAGATAGAGACATTGAAAACAAAGTAAAATCCTGCAGAACGTGCAGATTAGAATAGAATGAGCTATCGAAAGCTCCTTTACATCATTGGGAACTACCTAGTGGACCCTGGCAAAGACTACACATAGATTTTGCTGGGCCTGTCCTAGGATATCAACTTCTGATTATTGGGTAGAAATTTTTCCTACGAAAACTACCACGAGCTCATGGTGCATTCTTAAGTTCAAGGAGTTATTTTGCAAATTCGGCACACCTTACGCAATTGTATCGGATAATGGACGGCAGTTTGTATCACAATAATTTAAAAACTACCTTTCAAGCTGCGGGGTTACGCACGTGACGTCCGCTTCGTACCACCCAGCTACAAACGGCCAGGCCGAACGCTATGTACAAACTATAAAGATATCGCTTCGCGCGATGGAGAGCGAGAAAGGCAACTTAACGGATAAGCTCCTTATCCTTAAGACTAGACTCAGGCGAATACCGAGCCGAACAGTCAGACTCCTTATAAACTAATGTTCAAAAGGGACGTTAGAACTAAGATCACCTCCAACAGCGTCTAGACCCGACAACGCTTCCCCAACCGTCAGAACTTACTCAGTAGGTGACCGTGTCCAAGCCAGAACCTACTCTAACCCGAAGCGGAAATGGGAGTTTGGCACAGTGGTGCGCCGGCATGGTCGACTACACTATGAAATACAGACCAATGGTGGCGCTGTTTGGCGTAGGCATTTCGAGCAGTTGTTGTTACCAGCCCCGGGAGTGTGGCATCCAGGAATCGCGGCGGAGGATTGTCATATACTAACCGCCACGGTAACGGATAGGAAAGCTGTCAGACTGACGCGACGTTAGAATAATTAATGTTAAAGTAATTTTTACAATAAATAATTTTTCACGTTTAATGTTTAATGTGTATGTAATATAAGGTATTTACTTTTAGAGATGACACTAGAAAGATCATTAATAAATAAATTGAATAACAACGGACCCAAATGAGATCCCTGCGCTACACCTGAAGATACTGTAATTTCCTCCGATTTGCAGTTGCCATATTTATCATACTGAATCCTGTTACTCAAATAACTATCAATCCAATTTAATATAATATCACCAAACCCATATCCTTTTATTTTAGCAAATATTATGTCATGATTGACTCTGTCAAATGCTTTTGAAAAATCGGTATAAACAGAGTCAACTTGACACATCGATTCTAAGGATTTTATGATGAAATAGTTATAATTCACTAAATTTGTACAAGTAGACTTACCTTGACAATACCTATGTTGTTGGTCCGAAATCAGATGTTTACAATCGAATTTTAAATATTCATTGATAAAATAATCTAACATTTTAGGAATATCAGATTGTACACAAATTGCACGATAGTTCTCAACTTTTTCTTTTGGTCCAGATTTGTAAATGGGTCTTAAAAAACTGCTCTTCTAATAATCAAGAAATTCACCACAAGAAAGAGATACGGTTTTGTCAAAGTAAATACACATCGTTTAAAAAAGTAAGCAGGAATCTCATCAGGGCCAACTGTAAGTTTCCATGGTAAATTCATAACACGATTAACAGTACCACTATATTCAATTCGATAGTAGTTTACTTCAACAGAGCTATTAAAATTAAATACTGGAATTTGATTAATTGCAATGTCTGAGAATACTGTAGAAAAAAAGGCAGAAAACAAATTAACGATTTCTTGATTGTTGTTACTTGTTAAGTTACTACATATATGTCATAATATAGAAAGCAAGTTGTAAGATTTTTTCTTGTCATTAATATATTTCCAAAATGATCTGGGATTACTTTTTATATTAATTTCAGTTTTTCTAACATAGTTTTCATACAACTGACTGCTTAGTTGCTTACAACGATTCCTAATTTGTAAGAAAATAAAAAAACGTCATTGTTATCGTAATTTTGACTTTATCATCAAATGTTTAAATTTGTTAAACAGTAAAAATAATTTTTAACATTTCCTCCATCTTTAGACCCGTTTGCCCTATTTGGTACTTTGATATTATGATCAGTTTTTGTGTTTTTTGATTTTTTTTAAATTTTTTTATTTTCCAAACATCTATTAGAAATTCTATATTAATAAATACTACATTTAAATAATAAAAATTACCTGTGATTGCTAGATTTACTAGTTGCCCATTCTTCTAACAATGAACTCCAAATTCCTTCTTCTTTATCATCAGTTTGGACATCGGTAATTTCTTCTGATGCATTTGTTAATGCAAAACAAAACAAAATTATAACGGCATTTACTTTCATGGCACACTTTGTTATTGTCGATTTGTATAAGGTCGAGTTACGAATGGAAGAAAGTGAAGATACAAATGAAATAAAATGAAATTTACATAGATAGCGACTCTCTCTTTCCTAAATACTATATGCCGGGGTAGGTCAATGGATCGCATCAAGGTTTTTTTTTTAAGAACTGATAGAAGGCGATATTCATCATGGATTTTCCTAAATTTAAAGGTGACTATGAGCTTCTTAAAACGTTATTATGTCACTAATTATTTGAAATATTGCAATATCTATTTAAATGTTCTAATTTCTATAAGTTTCTTATTTACGTCCTGATGACTCACGAACCTTTGTTTACTAATATGTTTAATTTTTTTGTATATAATTAGTTTAAATAACGGTAACTTTGTGCTTTGAGACTGGATTTTGAACAAAACACGATTTATAGTGTGATTTTAATAATCATTTCTTACTTAGTGTTTTATGAATTAGAGTATTAAAAGTAAAAGAATAGCTATTTGTTTACTAAGAGCAGACAGTAGCAATTTGGCAGTTGAAACAGAAAGTTGCCGCGCGACGCTTTAGGGCAGCGTGGCAATCTGTCGAAACTGCCAAAGGACTTTCTGCTCGAATTATACACACGATTTTTTCTACGATCACACCAGAATAAAATAAATAATTTAGTTTTATTAGAAATGGGTTAATTTTTGTCGATATAGGGTGAGCTTACAGAACGTCTGCAACTTTGCAGATCTACAAATATGACCGCAATAACTTTACAGATGAAGCTTTGCAAATCCTACTTGCATCTGCAAATATCAGTTGCAGTTACATAAGAGAATCATGGTATTTCAGAAACGTGTTTTCACTCTTTGCGTCTGCAAATCATCTGTAACTTTGCAGGAAATTAGAACATCCTACAAACTTGCAAATTGTCAATTTTTACTTTACTTTTTCTTTTTTAATAACCATGAAGTCTACTGTTCCTTTTGACTGAATACAGTTCGTGGTGTCAAATTAACGAGTTTTTAAACATAAGTATTGCGAATTTGCAGATATTTTTTGGAATATGAAAACTGTAAGTCCGCCATATTTGCAGATCTGCAAAGTTGTCACCATATTTGCAGATCTGCAAAGTTGCAGACGTTCTGTAATCTCACCGGTATTATTGTAAATTTATTTGACATAAGCCTACTTATCGTAGTGAAAAAATATCTTTTAATTAGGCATTCCAACGACCTGTCAAACAATAGGTGCCAGTGGGAAATTCTTGTATATCTAAGGGGGGTAGCGACATAATCTTGCAACTTGGACGCTATTTTTTTTCGAAGTAGTAGTCGCCAAGCCTGCCAATTTATGAATAAATGTATAGGTGGGTGTTTAAATATTATTTTTATTGTGTTTGACATAAAATATTTAAATGTTATCCATTATTCATGATTTTACGTAAAGTAGATAGAATACACCGTATGTCGCCACCCTTAGATATACCAAACCTTCCCACTGGCAATTCATTTGTTTGGAATGCCTAATACTTTTAGTAAATTGTTTAAAAGTTATGTATCTCCAAGATAGAATACAATCTGTCAACATCAATGGTACCTTGAGTGATTCTGAAGTTATAACATGTTTGGCCAATTATTATTTAACATACAGGGTGGCGCATCCTACACGCGTCGGTCTCTATAAGGAAAACGACCTAAAATTTGATTTTTTTTTCTTAATAGGGATATACAGGGTCATTAACACTATAAATTAAAAAAAATTTGGATTATACAGGGTGACCAAAAATAGGAATTTAGATCAAAGTTATGTTTTTTTAAAGGGAACACCCTATATTTGATGGTGTCTTTTGATTCCTCGGAAAAAATAAAGTAAAGTTTCTGTAATGTTTGTAAGGTGATATGTAGTTATTCTATCTACTTGTTATATGTGATTGAGCTCAATTTATAGGGTGTGGGTTAGGTTTTTAAATAACTCGAATAACTTTGAAAAAGAAGTTGGGCACCACTATATTTAAAGCCTACTACACTTGGCTCTAGATTAGTGATAAAAATATAAAAAATCACTAACCACTAACAAATAATACTAAAACCATGCTTTAGATAAGGTAGTTATCAAATTCTAATTCACATAAGTTGTACTAAATTCAAATTTAAAACGATTTATTGAGTAAGCACTTATCTTTTGGTAAGTTAGGTAATATACGGAATGTAAATCTAGGTTTTATCATTGTATTTCGTCAGGCAACTTCCACCAAGAAATTCGGGATCCTTATTCGTAATTCTGCATAATTCTGCACCGTGAGAGAGCACCCAGAGATACCCACAGAATATCTTTTGTGGATATCCAATATATCCATAGGATATCAGAAATATTCTGTGGATCTAATATGGATATTCAAATGTCCGTCTATATCCAGAATATAGAAGATATCCTAATGGATATTCAGCAAATTATCTAATAGGTATCTTCCAGAAAATACAAGAAATCCCAGAGATATCCACAGAATATATTTTGTGGATATTCAATATATCCAATATGGATATCCAACCAAATGTCCGTCTATATCCTAGGATATAGAAGATATTCGGATATTCAGCAAAATATTTTATGGGTATCTTTAGTAGAGGTTCATAAGTAACCAATGATTATTGAATAACGTCGAAAGAAAATAGCAGAGATAAAAATATTTTCAACACTCTGCCTTTGATTTTGCCCACTAAGGAGAAAGTCATCCTTATTTGGACTCTTCAGCAATAAATGAAAATTGCGCAGTGTATAAACTGGAACATTGAGATAAAAAGTGCCGACGCAGAATGAGCGATCTGATTCTTTAGCTGTAATCTGTGTCACAGGGTTCAAAATGGCCGCGCCCTATGTTGGGCGTGTCGGACCTCTCTCTTGCCTCGTATAGTAATCAATGTATGTGCTTGAACTCACATACTTTGATTTTCTTTTACTATACGGAGAATGGTCGCAGTGCGCAGCTTTCTGAGTGCCTTTTAAAAGGAGATAGAAAACTCCGCCATTTTGAACCCTTATTACGTGTTGCCTATATCTTGGCGCAATATTTTTAATAGGTGCGTTTTAATCATCCGCTTCTGCTTCGAAATTGTCAGTTTTCTTGTTTTAATCTGACAGGTTAAAACGACTAAACCGACAATTCCGGAAGCAGAATCGGATGATTCAAACGCACCTGATATTTTACTTGCTGCTGTCAGTGTCAGTGAATATTATTGCTAAAGAATCAGTTAGATCACTCGGACCAGTTGAAAGTTCCAAAAATAACATCCACTCCAGGGATACAAATTCAGGATATGCAGAAGACTGCTGTTTTATTATAGGCGGTTGTCATTGTATTATCCGAGTTGCGCAGTGTATAAACTGGAACATTAAGATCAAAAGTGCCGACGCAGAGTAAGCGATCTGATTCTTTAGCTATAACTATGGCATAGGAATCAAAATGGCCGCGCCCTATGTTGGGCGTGTCGGACCTCTCTCTTGCACCGTATAGTAATCAAAGTATGTGATTGAGACCAAAAGAAGCGGAAACTGGGACCTTCATCTAATAGTATCCAGCAAATGTTGCCTTATTTTCATGCCAGTGGTAATTTTTTGTACAATAAATGTGGCCATTTATATGTACAGGATATGAATAGTTTAAAAGAAAAGATGAATCCTATAGAATACAGGTCTTTTACAGATGGAGGACGCTTCACAATTAGACGTTCTGACAAATTTTGGTGTGGCACATGATCAGACATGGTTATTGAGCAATCATTAATGCGAACGATGAAAACCGTAGGTTGACTAACTCGTGGGCGGGGAGTCCAGGAGAGCGTACTTTCTAGGTGGGCTATGGGAATGTCATTCTTGCACAATATTAGTAACGCGGTTGAACATTTTTGCCATATAGATTTTAGCCCTTCGGAACAGCATTTTGAATAAGAAGTTCTCGCAAATTTTTTCAGCTCGAATTTAACAGAATGAAGCTCTCCAGTAATTTTTGAATTGCTGATTAATTATTTAGGGAATTTATTCATTTTCATGATCGTACACTGGGTACTACGACAGCTACTACTACCTACCAATTGATTTACATTTCTTATTCACTGTGTGCAAGACTGGTAGCGCTCTCTAGTGACGGGATAGCGACAGTTCTCCTCATTCATTTCCGCATACTTGCTATACACCTCACACTCAACAGTTGAACTTGAAAATTCTTTTTCAAAAATGAAGGGCCGATTCCACCGTTGTGTTAAACAAAGTTTAAAGTGACATTTTTACATTAACAATGTCATTTTAATCTCCGTTTAACACAACGGTGGAATCGACCCTAAGTGTTGCAACAAGTTTTGTGTTCGCTGTTAGTTGATAGACTAACAAAAATTGTTTCTGTCGCACAAAAAGTAAGTAAATGACAAAAATATTTGGAGAATATGCATACGAAGTATCTGCGTTTTGAATGTCATAAATCAATGTAATTTGTCTGTATTTTTATATTACGTTATAAATAATTTATTTATCACTATTACTTGAGCATTCAAATACCGCTCCTACTTTCGATGTTTATGATATATATACGACAGAGGTTATGTTACTCACTTTTTTTTTTTCACAGCTGCTATCCATTTCTTTCTTTGCTCCAATTTATGTGATGCGGTTGGAAACGTATAAAACTTACACGCACTATTTTTGCTAGTGTTTTTACACTCGACAACACTACAATAACGACGACTCATTTTAATACCCAACACGAGACCCACAACACGCTGCCGCGCTACTACGATGATGTGGACAATCGCCGACTCCTGCCACCATAGGCGCTGCGATAGCTCAATCTATCCCCTCCAAGCCAAATACACACAGCGAATAAAATATTTATTAATTTTTATAATTCTAAGCACCATACACTGTTACTACAAAAGGGCCGTATATATATTATAATTATCAGACTTGCCCCTTCGGGATGGGTATTTCGGAAGACTTACCTATAAAAACAATAAACACTCTCCATCACATCTCTCGTCTCTCGAAAATCTGACGATAAGTTTGATTGTGTCATATTCTTTTTTTTTTTGTTATTAGTGGCATTGACCATTTGGAGTATTTAGTCAGGGTATCATGGATAAAAAATATTTCAGTATATTTTGGCAAATAGGCAGATTGGTGGCATATGCCAGGGATATAGTGTGCTGTCTGGGTAAAGGTGTCCCACTGGAATATAGATTTTCTTTACCTTTTTTTTCTCTTTTTCCTTTTTTCTTTTTTATTTCTCAGGATTATTCAGTTTATTTCGTTTTCGGTGCCATACCCTGTATATAGGTACCCCGCAGTCAGTTGTTTATTTATTTTAAAATAAAAAAGTGAAAATTATAGTGGTAATATAAGAAGAATCTTTTAAATTCTCATAGTGGATACTAAATGAATATTAACCTTTTTATTTATTACGATAAAATTTTACAAATTATGTTCATTTGTTATAGACTTAAAATTAAAAGTATACAGTTAAATTCGTATTACTCTGCAATGTTGTTGGAGTAGAATTGGTGGGCTCATTTAAATTTTCGGCGCTTTCAGTATCGGTCTGAAACAAAACAAAAAATAATTCATATAAAAAAAATACCTATTAAAGTACTAATAACTAGAGCTAGCTGTCAGCCAAACTATAATTTTTTTAAAAACCTAGCTTTCATATTATAATTGTGATTTTACAATTAGATGCAAGGCTGTTAAATACTCTGGCATTTAATCGAGTCCCCTCCTGCATTTGAAATAATAAATTGTACGTAGAATTAGTAAGAACCACATCCCCAACTAGCCATTCATAAAAGTGTATTTGTTGTGAAGTTCTCATCTATTGTATAGTCCAGGAGACAGTGACGATTTTCGGTATTTATTTTCCCAGTCAGCAAGCACGAATAGAGAATTGTAGGATTAGCAATTCTAAGCAAAATTCATATATATTTAGAGGGGGGATCCGATGAGCTGAGGTCGAAAATGCGTCAAAACATACGAGAACACGGCCCTTTTTTTCCATTGATAAAAATAGTTTTAGTAGTAAGAGATGTACTGAAGTTAATTAAAAAAATAGTCTGATTAATCTGTATGGATAATATATTTGGCAAGTTCATAAAATACACTTTCAAACGAGTTATGTACACAATTATTTCTACGACCACAATTATTTAAAGAATGTTCCAGGTGTTTTGTATATTAAAGGGTACGCATAGGACACATAAATAAAATCTTATATCACAATGTTTCACCTAACCAGTTGGTTTATTTATAGAAATTAAACATAATAATTGAAGATATTACAGAAGAAAATAGGGAAATAAATTACATTTCCTTTTACACTTTTATATAATAATTGTTTTATTTAGAATTCACGAATCACTTATTACTCTACATTAATTATAATTATTGTTAGTTTCGTTATGTCAAATCATTTATACTAGAGGTGTGAGGAAAATACAGTGAACTGTGGAACGCCAATATCGTTGGATGTGCGTGGTAGAAATGGTCCTATAATACTGCTAAAAACATAGCTAAATTTTCATGGAAACACTGTACTTTTGACATTTGCGATACTCCGACGCATATGCATTATTGATGTAATCTCATGATTTTACAGTAATAGTTTTTGCAATTTTAGTGTGATTTTTAGGTTATTATGGTTATTCATTTTATTTGGTTCTGATCTTTTGCGCTTTTAGAGTATTTGTCTTTTATATAGTTTTTAATTTGAATTTTAATATTGTGGTCTATTTATATTTGATTGCTGCTTTTCGACTAGTGCTTTATTCTTTTTGTGTTAAAATAAGCTTTATAACCATTAAGTACATGCTTCTAGTTGATATCTACCTAATCGTCATCGGGTGCTTGCAACAATGGGAAAAAGTGTATGGTTTTTTTGGTGTAAAGTTAGACGCCTTCATTTTTCAGGTAAGTTATTTGTAGTTATTTTTTACTTAAAAGGATAGCAATACGTCCTGGTTCGGGGTGTGACTTTTGGGTTTTAGCTATCTGAGCCAAATTGTCGGCTAAGTGGCACCCAGAACCGAAAACTATATAGGTATATAATATGTTTTTTTTTTAATTATTTTTTAATATGTATGCAGCTTGGATGAGAGCTTTAAGAAGAGATCCTAAGACTGAACACTGACTGCTATAAATGCCGTTTTTAGAGCACATTTCATAGTAAGTGATTTCATTCTAGCAGCAATGAGGAAACGTTTAAAAAACATGCTGTACCAGCTATTACTTTAAGACCTCGTCTCTTTAAGTTATTATTACTTCATTCTAATGCATATATTAAAATGGTTTTTAACTTATGTCCTTATGATTAAAAGATGTAGGTATTTTAGTTATGTTATAATAGAAATATATAATACTTTGTATTGACTGACCTACTGGCCACTGGTTATTCCACTTTTACTCCCTTTTTTCATAAATTATCAAATTATTTAAAAACAAATACATACCTAGCTATTTTCTGTAAATTACATTAAAATTTTAGTATTAATACTTTACTAATAAAACTTCAGTTAATTTATCTTATATATATACACAACGGAAGAGTTAATTGGATTTTCTCCTTGTTGAGTTTCAAAAATAGTAATTTAACATGATTTAAAAACAAATACATGAAATGGGCAAAATAGGCCTGCAAAGGCACTTTGTAAACAATCTCACTTGTATCGATGTGACGTAACGCGCGAATTCAATCTGGCTTACTTTTGTTAATAGATTGGCGTTCCATTTTAAATATACAGTTCACCGGGAATAGATTATTTAAATATACACGGACCGGGAAAACAAGTACGAAAAAATTCACTGGCTCCTGGACTAGTACTGTATCGAAGGAATTTTTATGAATGAAACAATATACGACCCTCCACAATTGCGGTCTACTCCACTTCCGCTGTTGTCAGACATTATTTTTATTTGGACAATTTAAAGACCTAACAGTAATTCAAGCAAACGCAATAACATTACTACAGTTAAAAACATCGCAAACTTGGCATCAATATTTTAATTTTATCCAAATATTGCATTTCTGTCGAGGATCATCCGCGTTGACTTCAGAAATTGTGTAATCTGTATTGGTTATATATATCTATAGTTAAAAGCACGTAAACTTGGCATCAATGTTCAATCCGATTATTGAGTTTCTACCGCGGACACCACCGTTCATTCTTCAAAAATTTTGTAAATAATCCTATCTGTCTTGGTTATATATCTATGGTAAGAACCATGCGATTATAGTTATTTAGTTTATTACTTTAAAATCCTAAAGTTTTAAACCATTTGAGCATCCCGAAGATCCAAGATGCAGTGGAAATAATTAAATAAATGATTAAATATTATTAAATATGTTAAATAAACAATGATATAAATTTTAAATATTCTTCATATTTTAAAAGTAAAAAACACAGTAATTAATAAAAATATGACAATTCAATTTGTTGACAGATTGCCGTTTACTATACATTTGCACGTCATACTAAGATAAAAAAATCTAAATTAAATTGTAACTAATAAATATATAGTTGCAGCTAATATGGATAGATGCTGATTATTTTTCTAAACAAAATAATATAAAAATATACAGGATGTTTCATTTAAAATAAAAAAGTTTTTCATGTTTAAAATATTTTATTTCTAAAAATAATTTTCAAAAAACGATGTACAAATATTTTTAGATAGTACATTCCATCTACTACCTCTGGCTAAAATTTCAAGTATCTGCTAGATATACTACCTGAAATAGACGACTTTAAGAAATTGTCTACCGGCGCGGCGACTAAAAATTTTGAAAAAATGGAATAACGTTAAATTCGCTAGAATTCAAATAAGCAAATGGGGTATTTTAATTTCATGCTGAATCTGAAATTAAAAAAATATATTCTTTTTAAAATAACGAAGTTAGTGGTTACTTTCGGTATAAAGTTGTAATTTCAGCCTTAAGTGAGCCACGGTGTATATACAGGGTGAGTCAGGAGGAGCGCACCAAACTCTAGGAGCATATCATACACGTGAAAATAATGTAACAAAACCTTAGATTATACAAACCTTAGATGGAACATAAGACACTGCGCATAATCCCATTTCGAAATGATTCACACCCACCAATCACAGTTGAGAACATCACATGTCAGAGCGTTGTCCATCCAAATTTAATGTGTCAACGAGAATCAATTTGATATTTTAGTGACTTAAAGTTTGGAAATTAACGTTAAAAATGTCAAGATGTGTTGTAAAAAGCTTTATTTGTATAAACCTGTGAAATGTGACGGAGATAAAAGAAACTTACATTTATTTCGGTGAGATATTTAATTTTTAAGGATTCTGTCGACGGCCATATTTGTTGATTTGAAAATAAACAGAATCGGACTTGGTCATTGGTACATATTATAAGTAGCAAATAAAGGTTATTATTATAAACTGTTTACTATTTCTTGTTTCATGGGGAATCTTTTTTTAGGAAGTGAAAAGAGAAACATACATTCAAATACAAAAATATCAATTTCATTGCCAATTTATTCGTTTCAAACTTCACAACTGGTTTCAATAGTTTCCTCAAAACTATATATTTAGTAAGTCTCTATAACAGTGTTACTGAAAGTGTGCTCCGCGGAGCCCTGGGACTCCGCAAAGCCTTTGTGAGGGCTCCGCGAAGAAAATAATCACAATAAAAAAAAACAGTACTATCGCCACAAAATGGAGGGACCTGGCTTGAGGACCGTTTTTTGAGAAGTAATTTTTTTAAGTCACTAAGAGGAAGGAGGATATGATTTTGCCTTAGGACTTTTTTTATTTTATTTTTTATGGGTCAAATGGATTTGGGATAATTCTTGCAAGGAATCTTTGGAATAATCAAAAATAAATTAACAACAAATGATGTTCTTGTGAATTTTTAGCCTGAGTTTCCGATTAAATTATTCGTAGATGCATCAAATGTGGGAATAAGGGCCATGATATGTCATGTTTTTGAAAAAAATATTGAGAAATCTATAGCTTCTTTTCGCGTACCTTATCAAACACCGAACAAAAATATTCCCAAATTGAAAGAGAGGTCCTTGCAATAATTTTTGGCTTAAATAAATTTAATGAATATTTATATGGACATTTCTTTATCCTAGTTACAGATCACTTACCTCTGGTAACTATTTTTACCCAGCTAAATGTATACCCCAATTTTCAGCCAACAACTACGTAGATGGGCAGTAATATTATCAAATTTCAATTATAAAATTGAATATGTGAAATCGGAGCATAATATAAAGCCAATTTTTTATCATGTTTACCAATTGAAAGTCGAAATGAGAGTCAAAATAAAGAAAAATTTGAAATACATTTTTTAAATTATGTGTTTAGGGCTCCGTCAAATATTTCGCTTTTCAAAAAGGTTTCGTCGCCAAAAAAGTTTGAGAAACACTGCTCTATAATAATATGGAATCTATCCATTTAATTTATATTCTGTTATTTTCTCTAATTTTGACATATAAAGTAATATATTTTGTAATCGCAGCAAGTATCAAAACGATCTACTTTATGCAACCAGTTACATAAAGTAGAACA